TCTTCACCCTCATTATACCACTGGATCTTCATGGGTTCCCGGCCCACGAAGGACAGTTTGAAGGCTGCATCCTTCCCAGCTTTGATTACAACAGGTTTTGTGAACTCAGTGAGGTCATCGGGGTTAATTCTTGGAGGATCTAGCGGGAACAACACACATATATTATCAATCTGAAACTCTAATGTTGTTTTACAGAGGCTGTCCTTTTGCTATGTCTACGCTGAATGCCTCAAATTAATTCCGGTTATAATACCTTCAACACTTAGCGCAGCTTCTGTTTTACGCCCGTCAGCTTCACAGCGGTACTTTCCAGCATCATCTTCTGTGCAGTTCTTGATTATTAGTTTGCGATAAGTCCCGTCTTTAACAATACAGATATCCTCTGACGCTGTTACCTGGAAATGATTGAATGATTCACATGTAAACCCTCTTAAGAAGAAAGTTAAAGATGGAAGCTCTTCCTGTGTCATCTTCTCTTCACCTCTTTCCCATCTCTGTACCAGACTCCATCACAGTCCTCACTGCTGAGCCTGCAGACCAGTTCTGCATCAGTACCAATGATTGCGGTCACATCTGACAGTCCAGCCGTAAAATATACTCCCGGGTCTTAATGTAAGAAGAACATAGTTAATCGGGAATAGTAATATATGCACAGTAAAGCAGTATTAGGAATAATTACTATGTTTTAATGCATACCAATGACTGTGTCAGCAACAAGTGGGGCTGTTCTCACTCTTTTTTTTCTCTCTTTTGCCGGCTCCTCTTCTTCAGTATCAGCAACCTCTGCCGGAGCCTCGTCTTGCACATCTTCCTCTTCCTCAACCACAGGGATTTCCTCTGCTTCATCTGCACCATCTGCTCCCACTTCTACCCTTTCTTCCGTCTTTGCCTTGGCCTTGGCCTTTGCTTTTGGCTTGGCTTTGGCTCCGGCTTCCTTCTGCACTTGCACTTTAGCTTTAGCCTCTGCTTCCGCCGCCGCCGCCGCTGCGGCAGCAGCCCTGGCTTCCGCCTCGGCCTTTGCATTCGCAATCAACGTCTCTCTCTCTAGCTGTATCTTAGCTTGTTGCTCCTCAGCAATCTTCAAAAGGTCGTCTCCACCACCCCCCGCTCTGGTAGTTTTGCGAACCTTCTTTTTTCCGCGTGTGTCTGGATCATTGTCGGCTAAAAGACGGAACACACACACACACACATTTTAAGGGTTTTCAGATGGATTTTGGATTATTTCGAACAGTCTGAATATATGTTGTTTAAAATGTGTATACAGCACCTTCCACTACAAGCCAGGCATTGCAGGAGTTAGTTCCAGTCACAGCTGCATAGATTCCTTTGTCCAAAAGCAGGCAGTCCTTCACCACCAAAGTGTGTATCAGCATGTCCTCTGACACACTAATGTCGTATTTTTCCCCTTGTTCTAGTGGCACATTCTTTCCCATCCATTTTAACTTTTTCAGGGGCTGTGAGAGGACACACTCAAACACAGCGTCCTGTCTTTCCTCTGCTTTCACATCTTTAATCTTGACCAAGAAGTCCACTGGGGGAACTGGAAAAACAAAAAACAGCATTATAAAACCATGAATTATTATTTTCCGATTCCTTCCTAAAGACAAATTGTGTGTAAAACGTCTGTGTGTGTATTGTGAAGATAAGTCATTTGGTGAATATTCTTACGTTTGAAGTCAGTTGAGAAGATCTTCACTCCATCTACCTCCACTTGGTACAACCCTGCGTCATCTGGGTCAATACCATTGATGCTGAACACAAATTTCTTTCCCACCTGCCTCAGGCCATGTTTTACATCCGTGTCGATTTCATAAGGAATCATAACTCCATCCTGTTTAAACACAAGTGGTCATAAATGTTAAAGCAGGTTTTAGTTTAAGACTCAGCCTCACTTGTTTACCTAATTCACCTGTAGGACAAAAACTAAAATATTTCAAATGAGACATCTCACCTTGAACAAGAAGATTTTGCTGCTGGGGTCTTTGAGTGACATTTCCAGCTCAAACTCTGCATCACCATCGTCCTTCAATGCAATGGGCTTTAGGTTGCACAGCCTTTCAACAACCTGTATTAATTGGAATCAGGAATAATTATGTTTCAGAGTTTGGACTTGTATTATAGCATTTATTCATGTGATTGTAGATGTCACTTTGAGGAGGCTGAAACATACCCTTTGTTGCTCGTACTCTCTCTCGATCTTCCGCTCATTAAGTTTCTTAAGCATCCCACGGAAGTCAGTGACACCGTACTGAGCACAGATGCTCTCGTAATCTTTCTTGTCTGCACTCATCAGCAGTTCCCAAAACCTTTCATCAATTTCTGGTTTTGTGTTCTCTTTTGCATCAGTATCAACCCTACAAAAGAACCAAGCATATTAGTAAACACTATGGGTTAATAATATACAATGTGAATGTATTTCTTACTTATTTCTTAAGGCCTTTTTGAAGTCCTCAGGTGTCTCTCTGACCGCTACAACACAACCAATAGCATTTTGTTAGCATGGCAGCTTTAACTTATAGATGTATATATACTTTTAGATAGACGAAATGTAGACTTTGTACCTGTTCTCGATTCTTGCAGGGCTTTGCTCTTCTTAAAACCAACTAAAATGGAAGATAACAAAGTGAACATAGACAGTTGTTATTTTTCCCAAATTATATTAGAACGATATACATTGCAATGAAAGTGAGTAACTGACCCTCAATAATGTTGAGCGTGGCGGTCACAACCGCTTTTCCGTATTCATTCCTGGCAAAACACTTGTAGGTGTCTGCTTGATCCGCAGTTACATCAGGCATCTAAAAGCCAAAAAACAGTGCGAGACGACCGGCTGATGATTCCAACGTATTCATCGATTAGCTTCTCTTCTTTAGATATGAAGCGTTCCTTAAGACACACAATGATCTGACCTGTAGTTGGTATTCGCCAGCAGTCGCATCATAGACGATTGTGTTCCCTTCTCCATTGAGCTCCCCGTTATTTCTCATCCAGGTAACAGTCGGCTTTGGGTTGCCAGTGACGACTGCTCTGAAAACAGCCAATTTTCCTACAGAGATGGCAGCAACATTTTTTTTTAAATTATTCTTAAAAAAACTGTAAATTAAATAGGTTTGTGCATTTGACTAGAGGTTGAATTTGACTTTACCTTCTTGAATGGTTAGAGCGATAGGTTTGCGAGTGAAATCTGGGGTGGTCATGCCCTCCGGTAGTTCTTCCACATACTGGGTGATCATAACTCCAGGCACTTTTGACCTCTTTTTAATTTTCACTGTCATTCAATGAGAAAAAAATAATGTAGGACGGTATACCAACTTCCATCCGTCTCAGAATAAGCTGAACTGCATGTGGCTTTCATCACATATCCTACTGTTTGTCCGTCATTTGGAGGCGGGTGTTTTTCTTACCTTGTCCCGGAGCAGTTGGCTCCTCATCCTTTGCTTTACGTATATTAAACATCTTGATCTTGACAAAAGCTTCTCTGTTAATGGAAAAAACACAACATTGCAATGCACTTTTATAACATTTCATTTTTATTAAGGAAACATTACGTTATCTCATATACTGCTTAACTTAGTTTTCACTTAAATGGTTTATTTAATTATATAATCAATGCCCAACTTATACTAAATTTCAAATGTAGTCTGAAGCTGCATGACCAACTCTTCCTAACCATCTGTCTGAGTGGGTATTACACCTATTATGCCTGCTTTTAAGACACAACGTTGTGTCTTAAAAGCAGCTTTACTGTCACTGCAGTTCTTAGTAAAGCCTATCCTTCGAGAGACCATTGAAATGTGATGGGACACAATGTATTCCTCCTTCCTATTACAAGCGCTGCATTGTGGGACGTCAGGGTTGAGCTATGGCCGTAAGATGTATGTCGCAAATGGTGTGAGGAGACATGCGTAACTCTATCTGTTCTATATGTGAAAGAATTCCTGGGATCGACCCTTTGTAGATTCCTCAGTGGACGGCTTAATTTGGCAGGCAATAGGTCACATACCTCATAAAACATTTACAGTACTGAATCATTACTCAGGAGTTTGCACAAATGCATGCCTTACTGCAAATTAGTCCAAATTATTTTTATATTATTTTTTCCCAGAATTCTCTTGGGGTAAAAAAGATGAAATAGGATTAAAAAAAAACGCCACAAGTAAAGCCTAAAAGTTGTGTTGTTCTAAGTCTAAATGTGTTTAAATTAAAATTGTTTTGAAACTATGAGAAGGAGGAAGTATAATTGGTAATTAAATTGCAAGCTTCAGTCCCCACACGTCAAAATGTAAAAATTTTAAAAATCAAATACTGTAGTATTTTAGTATGTATTGAAAACACATTTTTCACCAACATTCTCATTGGAGGTGTTAATTTGAATAGATTTTTGTTGCAATTAGACTGAAAGACAACATTTTTAAATTATTTAAATTATATCATATATGAGTGATATATTTGATTGGAAGATACAAAGTTAAACTAACAAAAGCTTTATTTAGAAAAGCACTGATATACTTAATCTTATTATTGATATATCCTGTATTTTTTTATTGCTAATCAATCAATTATTCTGGCCTAAGAAACACATCATTGCTTTCATAAACAGCATACAAACAACATCAAGCCTCAAAGGTACTGAACTGCTTTTCAGAATTTTGACTTTGACTTTGGCTAAATAGTAAGATGTCAAATACCCAACATACCTAAGGTTAATATTCAGTAATATGCAAAGTAGTGTCAGGTTGGCCAATGTATGTACATACATATGTACACAAATTGGCTCACAGAATGTTTTTAGGAAATATAGAGAATTTTGCCAGTATTTGTACTTACTATTTTTATTTTCAAGTGAATTTCTGCTCCCGGCCGGATTGCAGCTGATTCTTGAGTAAGGGCTCTTCCTTTTGAGAGGCAATAAAGTCATTCAGAGAAACACCACCTAACCCACTGCTTTTTCTCACTGTGGCTCCTGGGGATAGGTTTACTGGCATGCACCTGGGCCCTAAAGTCCTATAGGATGTTCAAAAAGGGGCACCATATCAAATTCAGGAGTGGACCTCCTAATCCCTCCCTCTAAACTGGGATTCCAGCTACAGGCTACTTTTTGTTTAGAAGAGAAGTCTCATCGGAAGTGACATTGAGGTGCCATGAGCTGAGCTGCGTCTCCATCGTCATCCCAACATTCAACAGGAGGTACGTGCCAATTACTTTCAGATTGTTTTTCCGTGCATTAATTTTCTCAAATATGAATGAGCGATCAAGTGATTCAGCAAAAGTTGAGAATTTGCATGAATGTTTGTATTTTGTTATTGATGTGAAAAGCTCTGGATCCACCACTCAAAAAGCAAACACAAAAATGGAAAGCTGAATTTTAATTTTTTAACATTTTGGACTGAAACCCAACAGAAATGACGTTGACAAAGTTGCATATATTTTATAACATTGTAACTAGAACTTCACTTTGAAACTGAGAGGTGTCATCCTGCTCTCGTCATACACGTTTTATCCCATGGTGCAACTGTTCACTCTCTCTTCTTCTGTGACTCTAAACTTGGACATATGTCTGACCTCTCAAAAAAAATGCTCAGTGTGGTAATTCAAGAAGACTGGGCATAAATTATTCACATAAACATTTATGGAGATGAACAAGTGGTATGAAGTTTGATACTTCCATGCCATGTCAAGACCTGCATACTGGACATTTTCTTTTTGGAGCTAAGTATTTTTCAAATTGATGTAAATCAGATTAAAAATCCCACCTCACAATAGCAGTATGACATAGTTATTTATACTACACCGAAACAGTTTTATCACATAACACACTGTAACAGTCAGTATCATATACATTTGTTGTTCATTTTTTGCTGTTAAGTCATTTGGCAGAAAACTGTAAATCAATTATGACAAAAAAGTAATTTGATCAAAACCACACCCAAAAAATAATTCAAAGACACTAAGGGCTCCGTTAGGTTAGTCAAACTTCTTGTAATATGACTAAAAATCAATAAAAACACTGTTACATATACTGAAAATACATTTGCTATTTAACATGAATGCTACATGCATTATAGTATAAGGCATTGCACACTAGTAAATCTTCCTTTTGATAGAGATTATCCAATAGAAATCCAAACAAGCCAACCAAGTTTGTGGCTTTTATCTCAGCAAAATGTGCATCTGTAAGACTTGATTGTGAGTTAAACTTTAAACAAATGCCGCCAATAGAAACCAATTGGTAAAGTATCACAGCAATAGTAAATAATCATTCATTTGCATTTGACAATTTGTGAATTTCCAACAAATTGTCTTTAAGCATTTTGGAGCAATTCTTCCATTTTCATTTATTCTGAAAAAAAAAGACAGTTGTTACTTTCAGATTGGAAATTTCCTCCCCGTATAACATTCCTATTCCTGCAGACATGGTGAAAGCATCTTTAAAATGACATTTCACTCTGGAAAAGATGTACCTCTGACTGTCAGTTTAGTGGAGCATTCAGCCCTCCCCAACGAGTTTTCCGCCACAATCTTGTACTCGCCGACGTCTTTAGATCCGACCCTCAATATGAGCAGAGAGCAGACTCCGCAGGTGTTGGAGATGAAGTAGTTGGTGTTGGTATTCAGACTGATGTTGTTGCGGAGCCACGTCACATGAGGTGTTGGATCCCCTTTAATGGCACAGCTCATGTAGCATTCGTACCCCTGAGGAGCAGTGTGCATTTTCAGGGGCACAAGGAACTTGGGAGGACACTGAAGATCACATGGCTTCGTCTCTGGCATGGACACAGTGAACTTTTCTGGAAAAGAGGACATTTGCATTGCATCAAATTATAACCGTAATCATCTAACAAAAGAACATTGACCATAGTAAGCAATGTTCACTCTCTGTTTCTGTGCCAAGCCAGGAAGTTAGTTTGATGATCAGATCATTAAAAGCCAACATATCACCCAAATCAATTGGTGAATATTTACAGACTATGCATGGTTAAATCTTGACAAAATGACAAAAAAAGTTAATTGCCAAACCAAGGGTTCGTCCTTAGACTGAGGAGGTTTTTTTTTTATTCACTCACCAAAATGTGCTTGATTCTGTGTATTTTTTTCAAATAGAGATATTTGTCTGTTTCTTCACAAACTGTGGAGCCCGGCACTTACATACCTCTTTTGCTGGGGATCAGCCACTTCTGTGATTCGGAGTGCTTCGAGGAGCCCATATCGTTCTTTGCGTAGACCCTGAATTGGTATTCTCTGCCCGGCATTATGTTGCAGAGTGTGAATCTGTTGTTGAAGATGCGATCTGCAATGGTGTGCCACGTGCTTTTACTCGAGTCGCGCTTAGTCACCATGTAGTGCAGCCTGTCGTCACGTTTCTCATCCGGCGATGGGGTCCATGAAATAGTCACTGTGCCCGGCACGTTTTCGTCAGTCTCTACGGGACCCGGCGGCTTCGGCTCATCTTGAGTTGCAGATGCAAATTGTTACATTTTTGTCCACAGAATATGGAAAAGGTGGAAATGATTTATAGTGTAAGAAAGTACAGCCTTTTTGTCGAACTCACCAGTGACTCTTATTTCAATGCTGAATGATTCTTGGGCGACAATGTTCTTGACAATGATGGTATAGATTCCAGTATCTGAGCGCTCGGCGGAAGGAATCAGCAGCTGGGATGTTCCCTCTGCATTGCTGATGGTCACCTTTTTAGGCACTGGCGATCCATCTTTCAGCCAGATGACCTCGGGCCAAGGAGATGCCTACAAAAAATAAGGAAGTATAATTTTTGGGTGGAAGACGTAATTGCATTACTTTATATTCATTATGATGGATATTCTTCTTAAAGTACCTCAAAGTTGATGGTGAATCGTGCAGAATTCCCTGCTCTGACCACCATGAAACTCTTCATTTTGGCATCTGTGAATCGTGGTCTCACTGGGTGAACGGAAGGATAGAAGTGGTTCATTTATTGTCATTATTGTTGCTGTTTACGATGACTTATTAAGAATAACGTACCAAGCAGAAAAATCCTCCAACTTTAATGGGCAGATTTTATTTCTAAATACACACGGTGGCCTGTTGCTACAACCCTCACTTACTAATTTCATATTTTTGTAATTATCTTGATTGTTCAAATCAGGCATTAATGATCTTAATTATCCAATTAACTTTGAGTCTGTATTTTCACAATAAGCTGCGCTTAGTGCTCCCGAAATCTACATAGTTGATTTGGATCAGTTAAAAATTCAGATTTTCTTTGTCGGTTGGTTAGACTATTTCAATTTTACAACCACTGGGCTTTTAGCTTTAAAGTGGTTTCCCTTCTAATCACAATACTGATTTTCTTACCAGGGGGGGGCGTCGCGAGGATGTAATTATCCAGCTCCTGTGTCTCTCCCTCTCCTCCATCGTTAGTACCCACTGCTCTCACCCAGTACATGCCCATTGACTTCAAACCTTTCACTGTATAGGTAGTCATGGTTATTGCATTGGAATTGCAGCGGTCCCAATCTGTGCTCTCTGCAGGCCTGATCTCCACAAAATATCCCTTGGCTTCATCCTCAACCCCCTCAATGATCTTGGGTTTGGTCCAAGACAGGGACAGGGTGGTGTAGGTGGAATCTGTCACTTTGAAGTCTATGACTTTACCAGGAGGCTCTGTAACGCATCAATCACATTCTTGAATCACAAGTCGTAGCCTATGTGACGTGTTGATGAAATAATGGGTGTGATACGTGCTCTAAATGTCCACCTACTTTTAGGATCTCTGGCAAACACAAACTCAGATGGTGTACTGAACTCCCCCGCTCCGGAGTTGTTGATTGCTGAGACGCGGAATTCGTACTCCATGCCCTCAACCACATCTTTAACTCCACATCCCTTACCTGTATAGGAGAAAGACAAATGCAAATACAATACATGATCAGATGTTCCCTTTTGAGTCGAAATAGATCATTGTAACAGGATGCAATGGTAATAACGTAGGAGTGATTGGTAACCTTTGATCATCTGATCAGGTGGATTGACTGCGCCCCACAGGTTGCTGCCCTTCTTGCGTTTCTCCAGATTGTATCCCAGGATATTGGTTCCTCCGGTTTCGGATGGAGGAGACCAAGAAAGGTTAATGCAGTCCTTGTAGGCAGTCAAAACCTTTGGTGAAGATGGAGGTCCAGGGTATGCTGTGCATGCAAAAGATTGGATCTGTTAGAATTTCTTTGTGAAAAATGGGGTTAGTCAAGACCCAGTCACACCTAAAAGAGGCTGAGTGAAATGCATTGTGATTCTCGGACTCCATTTGAACATCAACACTTTCAACTACAGCTCAACTTTTCCAAACTACTGCTTGACCAAACTTTCACTCTTTGCAAAATGTGTGTGCATAATTTCTTTGCAACTGAAAATGCCTTTTTATCTCAAACATTGGTCTGACTTTACCTTTCGTTCCGGCCTGAATGTCCTCTGTCTCCATCACCTCACTGGTGCCCATTTCAGTCTCCACCCTGATGCGATAGCAGTATCTCCTGCCGTGGTCCACATCAGAGTCTTTGTATTTGGCCTCTGCACCGATCGGCCCCACCTTCTTCCAGGTGTTGCGGCCAACCTGCTGTCGCTCAAGGATGTAGTTGTCTATCTTGCAGCCCCCGCTGTCCTTTGGGGGCCTCCACTTGAAGTCAATTGTAGAAGAGGAGGCTTCCACAATCTCCAGAGGTCCCATTGGAGGAGTGGGTTTATCTGCCCGGAAAAACAAATTGGCATATCGAATATTGATCTGTGCCCATTTGTTGGCCATTTACTTTATAAAAGCGTTCACAATTCTGTCATATAACCTGTGTGTACATACCCAGTACAATAAGCTGGCTGATGGCCTCGACGGTGCCGAACTCATTCTTGAGTTTCATCTTGACCTCGCCGCTGTCCTTGCGCTGAAGCTTGGTGAGAAGCAGACTGCTGCAGCCCTCAGAGTAATCTAACTTTATAGTCGCTTCTTCCGACAGCTCTTCACCGTCGAGATACCACTGAATCTTGATAGGCTCCCGTCCAAAATACGGTAGCTTGAAGGCAGCTTTGTGTCCTTTTTTCACTGTTACTGGGTTTTTAAATGCTTCCAGTTCCTTAGCAGGAAATCTGGGGGGATCTGCAGCAATTTGTAAAACAAGTTTTCTGGTTACACACTTAAGACTGAAACCTGCAGTAGAATTTTGTATCACAATCTGTGGGATGTCTTTACTGAATGATGCACAGCTTTATTCAAATGAGTCATTTCTGTATGTAAATTATTCCTACCTTCAACAACAATCAGGGACTCTGTCTTACGTCCATCTGCCTCAAATTTATATTTTCCAGCAAATTCCTCTGTGACTTTGTGAATTTTGAGCCTGTGGAAAGTTCCATCTTTTGAAATGGTAATGTCCTCAGATGATTGAATCTATAAAAAAAAAAATATTACTTTAACATCAAATATTGTTTAAGTCCCATCTGAAGCGCTCACATATGTGGCCAGTCAAACGTTTGCACACACTTGAATTAAATGAGAAAATTAGACTGTGGGTTTACCTCTTCTCCATCTTTGTACCAGAGTCCCTCACAGTCTTCTCTGTTCACTTTACACTCCAGCTCGGCTGCTTCTCCAATGATGGCTTTGCAGTCCGAAAGCCCGGCATGAAAGTGAACTCCTGGATCTGAAGATTCATCAACCACTAAGTTATCAAATGTACGCGGCCAACAGCTCATTTCTGCATGCGTGTTGTACAAGGTTTTTGTAACACATCCATGTATGGATGTTTACACACTTACCTCAAAGTCATCAAGCTTTTTTATTTGTGCATTTTTGGTTGATATCATGTATTTTATAGTGGTATTCAATATAAAATACATGTTAAAATGCAGATATGCCAGAAAATATCTTAATTGAACAGACAATATTTACCAAGTTTCTACGGGATGTAAGAGGAGCGTATTTGGTTTTTTTTTTTTAATATCTTGCTGAAGATGTCTTCTTGGTTAATGTGGAGCTTAAGTGTCTTGTCTTAAGCCTTTCTTCTTCAACGTGAAATGGTCTGCAAAGGTGAAACTCAAAAGAATGTCATCAGCGAGGCTCTCATTTGCCTCTGTTCATTTAGTTACTCTTGAAAGAACCACACCCCCTTAAAATATAAAAGATCCCACTCAAGTGTGACATTGCTTTGGTCAGTGGAAGACATGTTTGTCTTGTTGATCTGAATTCAATCTTCATTGTACAGAAGTTGGTTTTTAGAGCATATTCATCCTCCAAATTCGTCTTGGCTCGTCTTCCATCTTCAAATGATGCCAGAGTGTGTTTGCATACAGGTGTTGCCGATGCCGCATCAAGATGGTGATCAATTCTGCATTTGCCCTTCTAGATAATTCACCTCAATGCACCGACTCATCCTGAATTACCATTTCCAAAGGCAAGCAAGATTGTTAAGACAGTGCACAGTTGCGGTCAAACATGACTTACAAAGACACATACACACACACTCACAGTCTGCAGAATAGTACATAATAATGGAGGTGGATGTAAAGAATACCGCCTGCTGGTATCCAACCTGTGGGGCTCAGAAATACAATTATGTAACCAAGGCTGTAATGCACAAAACATAAGACTTAAGTATGTTTTGAACCATTTCACTGTTACATGGGGTGCTATTAACAGAACCTTTAGTGCCTTTAGTTTTCTTAAATCCGGTCAAATCCACTGATCATTGTAAAAGGCCATTTAATCAGTTAGAGATCAATTGTAGCATTATGATCAGTGGCCACACACTTTGATTGGTTGCTAAGTCATCTACTCATGAAATGACTTTCTTCAGCGGCAGCGCTTCCCATGCAGCAGTTAATGCGGCGCCAGTAATCTTACCACTAACTGTCTCCACCATCAACGGGCCTTGCCGTGCACGAGGATGCTGCGGATTCCGCTGCCGACCCGCTGCCATCATCGGCACTGGCACCACTCGCCTCTCTGTTTTTTGCTTTATTTTCAGTTTTAGTGGATGTCATCGTAATCAGCCATTAAGGCAATGTTTTTCATTTGCTGTCCGATAAGCCTTACAAATAAAATGAATGGAATCAGTAAGAGTCAGAATGTTAACGTGGAGCATGACAACAAGATCAGCCAATAAAAAACACACATTGACTTGATTTCTGAAAAAGAGTCCGGTGGAAAAGGAGATATTCTAGATTACATTACATTACAGGTCATTTAGCTGACGCTTTTTTCAACCCATGGTTTTTTACGTTTTACCCCTGGGGTTTACCCAATTAGGGGTTAGGTGTCTTGCTTAAGGACACTTCGACATGGAGCAGCCAGGGTCCGAACCGCCAACCTTGCAGTTCCCAGCACACCCGCTCTACTGCATGCACCACCGTCACACCCCGATTAATTCAATAATAAATGTTTATTTTTTATGTTACTTCTATGGATATCTTGATTGGTTTTTTTTTGTAATGCGGAGTGTAGTTTCATTAAATAAACTATTCCTTGTTACATGTTGACGCGTAATGAGTGGGTAATATCAGCAGAAAAACCTAATTGATTTTTATTTCGGTAATATGTAAAAAAACGAACGGGATTCCAAATGTTTTGTGTTAGCAACAGTTAGTATTACTGTTTCTGAAATATACCAAAACACAACAAAAAGAAATATTAAGTAAAGTCCCCTTTTCCATTTGCCACTTTTAAGAAAAGAAGGTTGTTCAAACAACAATAAGACAAACAAGTCAACAAACATGACAACATGAAAGCGTACATAATACACAGAAAACAAGGAAGAAGACCATCTAGAGTCATTGAGGTGAAGCATTAGATGGAAGAGGAAACAGAATTCAGCACATACATGTCTGTTTCTCAGAAAGAGGCACAAAAACAAACATAGAAATAAATAATTCTTTCATTTGTCAATAAATAATTAAAATGTTTAGCAGTTTGTTAATGTTTAACTAAACTTTCCTCTAGTTTTTGGAGCTGCAGTGATTCTAGAGAATTAGAAACCGTTAAGTAGAATATAAAATGGAGTGAATTATGTCGCTATGGCTTGTCAAACTATTTCTGAGCTGTGTTTTTTTAATTCGCCCTCGTCGAGCTTTCTCACCACAATCTGCAAAGCGGAGCAGCACGGAGCTTTGCCTTGTCAGCGTGCATCAAAGCTTCCCACATCGCTGATGTCAAAGTCATTTTCATTCCCAAATGACTTCCATCGTCAGTAAGTTGTTTACAACATGCAGCCTTCGACATGTCTTACCAACAGCCGCTTCTTCAACCGCCACATTTTTCTTTTTGTGACGTTTTTCTTTTTTCCCAGATGTTTCACCTGGTTGATTTGTGGTTCCCTCATCGTTATTATCTCCTATTAGTGATGATAAGTAGCAACTTTATTCAGGTCAGGCATCAAATTATAATAGTTTGCTATCAATGTTAAACTGATCATAACTTGAGTCTGAGTAAAAATAAATATCATATACTTTGAATGATCTGAGCAAACTATTTACTAGTAGTTCTAGCTGTTAGTTCCTATTCTGTTATTGTTCAACATATATATTTAAAAATTAAAGATCAATGGGTACATGCAATATTGAATCAGAAAGTTGAAGGAAACTACAAACAGAAGTAATATTTAAACACCGAAAGAAGAGACAACAAAGAGACTAATATCAAAACATAAACACCTTCAATAACACAATACAAACACCTTCTACTGCTACTGTTCATGTTAGTGATGACGGTTTCAAATCGAAAGAAGTTCATTAGTAAAGATGTTTTTATAGCGTTTAGGAGAATAAAGGCCACGTTTTGGAAGCAAGTGTTTGTCGGCCCTCAGCATGAATTGCAGTATAGTTCTTACCTATCACTGTATCTGGAACGAGTGGCCCTTTCCTCACGCGTTTCTTGCGCTTTCCTCCTTTTTCTCCTTCTCCTTCCACTCCTTCTCCGTCTCCCACTCCTCCATCTCCCGCTCCTCCATCTCCCGCTCCTTTTCCACCTCCCTCCCCGTCAATTTCTTCATCAGAATCCTCAAATGAATCGTATTCTTCTCCGTCGAGGTCTCCTCCCGAGCCTTTGGCTTCACCAGCTCCGCCTCCAGCTCCAGCTGCAGTTCCATCTTCTCCTCCACCTCCGACGGCATCAGCACCACCGGCCCCGGCTGCACCTTCGCCACCTGCGCCAACAGAAGCTCCTGCCCCACCGGCAGCTGCTCTCTTTTTACCGGCAGCTGCATCCTCGGCGGCTGCTGCCTTCTTTGCCTTGGCCTTAGCCGCGGCCTTGGCCTTAGCCGCGGCTTTAGCCGCAGCTTTTTCTTCCGCCGCTGCCTTTTTCGCTGCTTCACCCTCCACTTTGGAAATGGCTTCTGCTGCTTCTCGCTCCGCCTGAGCTTTCTTGGCAACTTCCATTTTTTCATCCATTTTTTTCTGATATATCTCCTGCTGCTCCTTGGCTATTGCCATAAGATCTTCGTCATTACCGCCGCCAGCCATTGTGGTTTTACGGGTTGGCTTCTTGCCCTTGCTGGCGGAATCCTTGTCGGCTGTCAGAGATAATGTCGAACGTAGTTTAGTTCATAGCTGAATATCGGAAATGGTTTGCAGGTACATGCGTGCAACTGGAATTTTTCTTACCTTCGACTACGAGCCAGGCATTGCAAGATTTGATTCCTGCCACGGCAGCATAGATGCCGGCGTCCAAAGGCATGCAATCACGCACAATCAACTTGTGTATGAGCTTGTCTTCAGATACAGTGATTTCAAACTTCTCGCTATTTGACAGCGGAGTGCTTTTTCCCAACCATTTCAGCTCGTTCGTGGGTGCCGTCAGGACACATTGGAACAGGGCGTCCTGTCGTTCTTCTGCTTTAACTTCTTGTATTTTGACAGCAAAGTCCACTTCAGGCACTATAGGTGTTACAGAAAGGAAAAACATAGAAAAAAAGAAGCGGAGAACTTTTTTAGACTTCATCTATCTCTACTACTTCAGCGATCGATTCTGTAAAGGCTGATTGGAATCTGGTCCGTCTCATGTTGTGCATTTAGGTAAAGTTATTAAAAACAGCTGTGGCCAACAACAATGAAACCAGTAAAGGGTGAACGGAATTGACGTAAACCTAGTCTGATTTCAATGAGCTGAGACATACCTTTGAAATCTGTGGAAAACACATTGATACCCCCGACGTCCACTGAGTAGAGTCCAGCATCTTCTGAACCGAGGTTTTTAATTGTGAACACGTATTTCTTGCCCACTTGTTTCAAATTGTGCTTCATCGACTCGCTTTCTTCTGTGGTGAACGGAACCATGACGCCATTCTGCGGAATTTACGTGCATGAAAGCGTTTTCATTAATCGATAATGAAACGCAGCCGGACGTGGCGTGGCAAGGCAGTCAACGCCGCTCACCTTGTAGAGGAAAAGCTTGCTGGAAGGGTCCTTGAGGTCCATATCCAACTCGATGGTTGCACAGTCGTCGTCATTGACTTCGATATGTTTCAGCGTGCTGATGTGTGTAACAAACTAGGATGGAAATGGAAAAGAAAGCATCAACAAATTGATCAACACCTTTTAGTGAGTCTGCTCGTACTGCGATAAGACGGCAAATGCTTCTAAACGTGTGACACATACCTCTGCGATCTCCTCCTCTCTCTCTTTCTTCATTTCGGTGAGTTTCTTCAGCATGTGGCGGAAGTCCTTGATACCGTACTCTGCACAGATGCGTTCGTAGTCCTTCTTTTCGGCACTGAGGAGGATTTCCCAGACCTTCTCCTCTGGCTCCATCTGCTTTTCCTCACGTGTTCCATCGTCCTTGCTGCGGAGAGATATTCTGTGAGGCCCTAGATGTGCTTTTGATAAAAGAGATGTGTTCACTTGGGTTATTTTTTACTCACCGCTTTTTCAGATTTTTTCTGACGTCCTTTGTATCTGGTGAATAATGACAGAACGAGTGTTATCTACAAAGAGCAGGTTAAGTATTAATTGATTTATAATTCACGTGTAATTGTTTGATTAAATCGACTAGATTTTTTCCTATTTGAGGAAATGAGATGTAATCCAACTGATACTTTACTTTGATGAAACACAGACTTGTGCTATTTCTTTATAAATGTATGTATACTGGAATTTAACCTTGTAAATGTGTTTATTTGGTGTCTTATGAACCCTGCCTCCCTCCTCAGGCGTCTCAGCTTCAACTTGGGGTGAAAATCCACTTAAATGGATAATAAGGAAAAAACTAAGTAAGACCAATTCCACAAACTGTGGTGCTGATTAATAAAAAATAAAAAAAAGATGTGGTTTCAAGCTCACCCTCAACTTGTGTCTTTTGAAGCTCCTTAGTCTTAGAGAATCCAACTGTGAACAAACAGATGACATAATTTTCATTCATTTTCATATGAGTTATTCAATTTCTGTTTGTCACACTTGATGGAAACGGTGTTGCAAAGAAAGATCAGGAGCCTACCCTGAATAACATTCAAGGCAACAGTGCAAACAGCCCTTCCGTATTCATTTGTTGCAAAACACTTGTAGGTGTCGGCGTCCTCTGGAGCGACCTTTGGGAACTAATCAATTGCAAACACAGAGTTAACAGCATTTTGCCATTAACATTATATTATTGATTCTCACATTACAATATCAGTGTACGAATATTTGTTGCGTCTAAACTCATCGCACTTAATAAAAAAAAAAAAAAGTATTAAAATGAATATAAATTGTTGCGTCGCCCTTAGTGTTATGTTGACAGTCTGTGTTCGCTGATGAATGTTTGTTTCTCTGTGATATCCTTATTTTTACTGTACATGCAACACTTACCTCAATGGTGTGTTCTCTTGATATCTCATCATACTTTTGCATGCACACGTCGGGGTGGAAATGTATTTCTCCGTTTGCTCTGCCCCAAGTGACAGTAGGTGTTGGGGTGCCCACTACTATGGCTTTAAACACAGCACATTTACCTGCAATGGGATAAAATACATCAAATATGGATTAAAAATGGGGAAGTCTTAAATTTAAGACAGAGCGAGTCCTTTGCTCAATTAGATAAAGACTTACCCTGTTGAATAGTCAGAGCAATGGGTTTGCGGGTGAAATCTGGAGTTGACATTCCCTCCGGGAGTTCCTCCACAAACTGCGTTATCATGACACCAGGCACCTTCGACTTCTTCTTGATGCCTGATCAGATAAAGTAAAAATGACCAATATGCCCACAGTCAAAGTATTAGATGATATAGTGCAATATATTCTTCAATGCATAAGACTGTCAATCTTATTTTACCTCCGTACATCGGTGCACTTGAATGAGAAAAGCATGTTTTAAAGAAATAATTAATAAGACTGTATTCAGATTTTTGTTCAAAAGTGGATAACTTATATCCACTCAGGTATATATCCAGTTAACAAATGTCAGTTTAAACATTTTTTTAGCTGTTTAACTAGAAGTTTTTTAGAGAATAAACTAAATATGGACAACTGAAGCAAATACAAAAGTTTTACAAGATTTTTTCTTCTGCCTTAAATTTGACCCCTGGCAAAAGGTTTGTTACACTTGTTCTCAATTGTTGCAATAATTCTACTGCTCTTTCTGGAAGAACAGAATGTAAGTAAGGTCATTTGCATCCCCACCTACTTCTCACGTCTCCTGTGTGTTGACTCCAGCACTATTCCCTCACAGCAGAGTGCTCATAAGGAGCAGTGCAACAACAAGGTCAAAAGCCAGAAACCTTCCCAAAAGGATTGTGATTTTTTTAACTTATGTATTTAGACAATATCCAGCAAAAATCTTCTTTAATAATGTTCTTTAGACTCCCCCCTCATCGGCCTCTTGACATTAGTGGTGAGTTTCCAATCTGCATATAAACATGCAACCCGAATGGACCTTGTATATGTAAGTAGCAAGCGTGATGAGCTAATATCCGATGTTATTGGACTCTTTCATCAACATCAATGTTCATGTCATGTTGAAAACGTGAGTGGAGACTTTGAGTTAATGTTAATTAGGGTATGAGACAATTCATGTTTACGTTTAATAAGTCTATATTAAGTATATTTCTAGAGCTTCATACTTTAGGTGAGGTCACCTTATATGTTGTCAAGTTGACGCGGCGGCGTCATCAAAAGCAATCTGTTCGTATGGAAATATTGATCGGGCCTTTTACCAGTGAACTCAAATCCGCTGGTTTAAGCTGGGCTTTGATTTCATGGTTCAAGCTTCAAGAAATGCTTCATGCAGTATGATTTGCATAAACATTTTGACACTGTCAATCCTAAGCAGATATAAAGTAAATAATGCTGACTTAATGTCTTTTATGGCTTATAAATAACTTTCAAATGCCTTTGTGAATAAAAGGGACTTGATAAATACAGCTGGTTTTAAAGGCCAAATAAATGAGTCTTTTCCATCCAGGACAACATTAATCAAGGTATTCATGACATTTACTTACATTGCCAGCTTTCGTTTTATCGTTGCAAACTCATATTTTCGGATTCATCGTTATTTCAAGTTTAGTCCACTGTCATGTCAACAGAGAATGGCGACTATTATCTATGATTTGACACCTTGTGACTAAAGCAGTAGTAAAAGGAATACAAGAGAGCAAAGGCTATTGGGAGAGGATTGAGGCCTAAAGGCCTCCAGAGGTCAAATGTGCTAATTACCTCCAGGCCCCAATGTACTGTGTTAAGTAGACAGCATAAAGCTCTCTTTATATCACCTTTGAACTGCACGGCTCATAGCATTTAGTGACAGTTGTGGTCGTCACAGGGGAGACAAGCAGAGCATAAATCTAAACCTCCAAGTCATATATGCTAAATTTGAGGATTCATTTGATTTTTAAAGGGCTATTGGAGATTGTGCCACTCCTTTTGGAGATGTCCGTGTAGAGCAAGTTCACTTAGTGGGACTGGACTGTGCCAGCGTACCTTCCAGGACTAATCAGCACGTGGACGTATGTTAACAAAGTGACATTTATTCTCTAAATAACAAGATGGAAATTACCCGCTAGCGCCCTACAGCAACAGCCTTTGTATTCATGTGGCGGTGGATTAAAAGGTCACAATGAATCTGTTGTGACACTGAAAGTTGAATCATCCGTTTCCGATGACACCTTTCAAGGCGTGATGAGGATTACATCACACATGCAACTCTCCCAGCAGGGAGTCATGCACTTACAGGAGGTGAGTCGTTTGTGTAATTTGATTTCTTTTGATTTTTTTTTTTTTTCTCGCATACCTTTGTCGTCTGGTTGAACTCCCTCTGAAGCGTCGACTACACACGCAACGTGACAGCAGGAGAGGGAACAGGACAGGTGAAGATTAATCCTGACAAAAGCCCCATGGCAGGTTGGAGCTTCGACAGGATTATGGATACAATAAACATAAAACACCACGATATACAGTATGACCCAGGAATGGGATATTCACACACACACACACACACACACACCTGCACAGACAAAACATGGGAAGAACAAAATCTTCAAAGACACATGACACAACAATGGTTAGTCATAGACAAAGGAGAATACGGTATGTTAGCCATATGTTGTTGCACCAGCATGTTAATCGATGCATCAACTCGCATTTTCTCAGGATATCTCAGGATGATTCTTGCGCAGTGCTTGAGAGAAATTATGTGCAAATACTTTTTGGAGAAGCAACTTCCTGGAAATGAATTTGCAGAGGCCTTAACCTCGCCTTCCGTTTCTTCCCTTCGTTCCTTCTGTTACCAGCAGCAATCAGCGGCTTCGTTGCATTGTTTCATCAGGAACACAGAGAGAGCTGCTTCTGTCTTCAGTGATATCACGGCTTTATTTGCATGTCGTGTTCTTGCATCACTGACGCCCCTCGTTCCTCGAGTTGACAGGCATCTCTGTAATCTCATCTCTCGTAAAAATACGTTGCTGCTCCTTTTTTTTTTTCACGTATCAAAAAGCTTCCTTTGAAAAGTGGCGTCAGTGTCCTTGAGGTCAAAACATTTTCTTTTCCTTTTTTTTTTTTTTTTTTTGAAGAACCTTGAATCATTTGTGGAATGCTGCAGTTGACAAAGGAGCAAATATAGGTGCTTGTCTTCATTTTTCTCAGTGGAAATGGTGATCCCTTAACATAATGCAGCACCTTCCGGATGTCCTGGGTATCCCGAGTCTTCTTAAAAAGATGCATCCTTGCGTTTCATCTTTGACAGGGTAAATTTCCCATGTATTTCAATTTTTTTCTCTCTTTTTTTAATTTATTTTCCGTGATTACAATTTACCCTCAAACGTATTATTATACTATTTCGTAGGTCAGATAGATGCTGTTCATCCTCAATCCCCAGATTAAAGGAAATAAAGGCGGAGACAGCTGCGATACAAACCCTCTGACTGACCCAAAGGACAGCATCCATCACCTCGACTCACCCGTCTGCCCAGCGGCAGTTTGATCTGTCACCTTTGACCTCTTCCACATCTTTCCTTTCCTCTCGAGCGCTGCTGATTCAGAATGTTCTGCAGCAAACGAAAAACAGATGCAAGAGGAATTGTTTAGCACTGCATTACTTGCATGAGAAAAGCAAAGCTGTGAAATGGACTGAACTACTCGGCTAGGTTTTTTCTTCTAAGGCTCATTGCAGTTACTACGATCAGTCAGTATGAGGCAGCAACCAGTGTCGTGTACAGTAGCAGCGGGCCTTAACATGAGACAATACTTTATAAATACTCACATGTCATGGTCCACATTAAATATTAGTCACTACATATTTTAAAATAGCTCCTCACAGGCTTTAGGGAGGTGCAATTGATGACGGTCACAGTTGACTCACATGTTGAACTGTTAGATGAGTAATGTCTCCTCTGGTACAAAAAGTGTCACATGCATCTCTTTATGCCATCACAATGCTTTGCTCTAAATCAATTGGTCCCTAATCATTGGACAGGAACTTGAAGCAGGTATGGTTATGCGCAAAAGACATTAATAATATTTTCATTATTACTTTGCAGCTTTACGTTTTCAGACAAAGTTTGGAAGAGGTGAGTTTATTTGAATGTTGCGTGCATTGCTCAGTGTGAATAACGGCACGCTTCTGTACTCACCTGAATGAACCACGACGATAAAAACTCATTACTTCCACCAGGTGCCTTGAACTATCTATGATAAGGAATTTTTTCAATGCCTGCTATTTTGCATAGCGCACTTTACCCAAAAAGTCCTTGTAACTATTGATTGCTTGATCCTTTATTTGACATTCATTTATCATTCCTGTCTCCTGTAATAGTTAGAAACCCAATCCAGTGTGCTGCCCGGTTTATAAAAGGGTTTCACATTTTTTCCTTCTCCAATTCCTCTAAAGTGTTTAATCTCCTGAAAAAAGTTTTCACAGACTACGTTTCTAAATAAAATTATGAAATTCTAACCACAATTATTGACACATTTTGAATGCTTGGCTGTGAATAAAAGGAATTAAAGGAGCTGAAATAAGCGCAATCAAAATTGTGCTCTGAGTCACTACATTGCACACAGCTCCTGCAGAGAAGAACTCAAACCGTGTGTGCTTCCAAACTGTCCTCCTGATGGAACAGTGATGGTACAAATTGTATTCATTTAATTTTCTTGAAACAAGGCCTTTTTTTTTATAATTTGTATTATTAGGGTACTATGTACTTGTGACAGTCCAATGATCTGTGATCATAATGAGAAGCTGTTTAAGGAAACATATTTGTTAACGCTTTCAACCTCATCAATTATAAAACTGAAATGTCAAACCAAAGCTTGTTCTGTAATTAAAAGAAAATACTTATCTTAAATATTTTACTTTAAAAAATGTAATATAAAATATTTCCCAATGAAAATACAAGCTTCTATCTAAAAAAAGCAAACACTTTATTTTTAGTTGTACTCATGCTCAGCATATGTTCAGAAAAGGCGCCGGGCTGCAGCAGAGATCTGGGCTGCTAATGGATATTGAAAATGAACACATATGGTAAAAGCTAGACAGCCTGCAATAGGAGACATTTTGGCAGGAAGCCCTTTGCTCCTCGTCCCTCCCACTGAAACAGTTTGGCTGCTGTAGCTCACTGCATTTATAGTTTAATGTTTGGCTGCGGCTCCCGTCGGATTAAATGAAACCCGACTCTTGGTGGGAGGGAACGTTGAAGACAAAATAGCCATCAACAGGTCCTGAGAATCTTTTCCAGACAACACGCCGGAGTTTTTAAAGATCTGCGATGCCGACTGCGTGACAGTAAAGACAAAAAGACTCTTCGTAACATCGTTACATCATTAGATCTAAGCAGTATCCAGGCAGACTCGCTGCCACGGAAGGGAACGTACTGCCACCAAGCCTCAAATTACATACAGGCTGAAGTGTTGCTTAACTGTAGCAGAAGGAAAATATATCCAGCTTTCTAACCTTCCAGTCAATATATATAATGTATTATATTATGTTATAGTCACAGTAACCAGTCAAAATTTGGGACATACCTTCTCATTGAATTGAATGAGAAGGTGTGTCCCAACTTTTGACCGTATATATATATATATATATATATATATATATATATATTGCAAGATCCAAATATCGGGGTGGTCTTTAAAAGATGCCATCTGGTCGAACACTGCTGAAGCTGTTACATTCAGTCCACCTGTGAAATCTCTCTCTGTTTTCTACACACAACAACAAGTCGTAAAAACATGATGGGTTTTTATCCTAATTAAATGTTACCTACGTAATGGTGGTAATAATTTTCACATCCAGTTTTTTAATCATTTTTCAAACAACTTATATCCATCTATTTGTGGCTGTTTTTAACCAAATGAGTTGCGGTATCGAGTGAGCTTCTTTGACCGTCGCCATGGTCAAACCCTTTGACCTCTGATGTCATCTTTGGATGCTTACCAATCCCCTACACATTACATCAGTTGAAGTTGACCTATCGAATTAACGTCATCAAATTCAATGTCAGCAGTGTTCTTTGACGATCGAAATGAATATAAATGACACCTAAGAGAAAAATGATAACGGACTGAGCGCTTCGGTCGCCCAACACAGATCCCTGCTCCGCTGACAACATATCTGCTATCTTCTCAGATGTCCCTCTCTGCGGTTCTCCACAGGCCCCTGACTTCAGCAGAGTGTACGAAAGTATCTGTGTAACTTACAGGAAACTGCACCCGGTGACAAGGCTCCTGGGTGTCGGATGAGCGACGCCGCTGCTATTTCAGCTTCCCGGTGGATTTGCTCAAGAGGGCCGACACGTTGATGCATGCTGTTCAAAGTGCGCGTAACGGCTTAAGCTGAAGCGTGGTGGGCGGCAGCGTGCTTTTGATCAGTCTGTGTGTTTTCTCCTCGTTTTACTTTTTGCTCTTATCTTGGAAGTTAATCGCGTTTGTTCGGATCCTTCAGGCGTGACTGCGCTGAGGATAATTGCCTTCCGAAAAAAAAAAAACATTCTGCATGTGCATAATGTGAAACCCCGGCGTAGAGAGAAGGGCTGCAGCTGTTTTTAATGTGGATAGAGGTCCTGTTTTCTGCCAAAACACAACCCACACCCTTCACGCAGAACTCTTGTTTCCTCAGCCTACGTATCGACTCGATGCCTCCATCCAAAAGTTAGTCATCAACCAAACCGGCTCACAGCTCTGACCTCGCCGCTGTGATCCGGCTTCCCTGGATTTAAAACCGAGCAGCCTGCCAACCTTACTGAAGTGATTTCATGCACCACCACCACATTTGGGTGTACTCTGTGTGTGACTAAATCATGTATGATGTTGAATATATTGAATTTAGAAAAGCATTAACATGGTTACATGTAATCTGAGCACTTATAGCACTTAATAGTTCTACTCTGAGTAACTGTATTCTCTTTAGCCACAGCGAGTTCCCCTCTTTGTAAAGGGAAATACAAGCGTGTATTCATCGCATTCCTTCTTGTTTACCGTGACGATTTGTGCACCCGCTTGCAGAACGCCTTCCAGATGCAAATAGTGATGGCGCGCGTTGTATTCATGCTGATTATGTTACAGGGGCGAACTCACAAGAAATGGGTTGAGCCGTCATCCATTTCTTCCCTCCGCTCACCACATGTTCTTATGCAAGCATGCCTTCGTTTTGAGGGCCACCTACCTGCTCCAAGTCCCCAGTGCGCTGAGTGCCGGTCCCTTTCACGCAGCCGTTCTGGTAACGCGGTGCCGTCTTTTTTCAATGTAATAGATCCTTCGAGCGGCGTGAACGGCTGTGCTTGATGCTCCTCTCGTGCCTACAACCAGTGACTGCCAAAAGCTCTTTAGCCTTTTTTGTATTTGTGTTGACTCCAAAGACATTGGTGCTTGGGTGGGCGGTGAAGCACAGTGGGGGCACATTGGAGGGGGGTGGGGGGGTCAGAGAGCAGGTTAAATACCTCCTTGGAGAATCATTTGTTCCTGTAAACCAGATGTAGATGAAATTTGTTTAAAAGCCTCCAACTAGATATGTTACACAAGTTTCAGACCTGATCAGGTCAGCTACTGCATGTGTATGGTTAGTGTCAAGGTTAATGGGATTAATGAAAGTAGTTATATTTAAATGACCACAATATGAACATATTTATTAAATTATTAAATGAAGGAAAGTGTTTGACAAAGAACAAGAAGAACCTCCGTACGGCTTTTCTTTTTAAAAACAACCTCGGAATGCAAATGGTTTTTACTCACATGACATAAAAATAGATTCTGTGGATTGAAACTCGTAGCTGATAACAGCTAAACTAAGGCATGAGGCCGCAGCCCTCGAATGCTCTTCTCTCGTGTCTTTTATTACCAACTCGTATTCCAGTTGCGTGTCGCGCCGAGAGCCGTGTTATTTTAGGACTCAGTGTCAAAGTTGCCAGCCGCTGTCCTTAGAGGCTCCAATAAAGAAGGGACGTGTGGATGTGGCACATTGTTCCCTCGCAGCGGGCGCCGTGCTAAACACGGAGCAGCTGTTACCAGCTTTGGGCCCTCGGAACGTCGGGAACCCGATCGAGAGTCTCACCGTGAATACAGTAAATGAAGCAGGAGAATAAAACACTTACTAATGCGTCTCCAACTTACTTTTATGTACACAACTTGTGACACAACACAATTGCTTGAGTTGTTTTTCATGTTCCTTGTTATTGTATGTACTGTGTTTTGGGGGTTGAATTCAATCTGATTCAGTCTGATTCTGATTTATGGATTTGTTGTCATGTTTTACAATCTAATATGACAGATCTCCCTGAAATGTGTTGCCACCGCATGACTTTATGGCCTCGACAGTAAAACTGGGACATTTTGCTTTGAGCAAACATAAACAATCATAAATCTGTCTCACCTAAACAAACGTGCCTCCAGGTATCACTTTCTAACAGGTGGACATCACGGTTCTGTAACTATTTAAGTCACACACTAAATGTACCACGTACGGTCACGGCTAACATCGTTGCTGATCTGCATTCATGTTGAATTGTGAAGTACAATTTTACGAAAAGACCCTTATTTAATCTGCTTTTATGTCGGTCGTGTTAAGCTACCCTGAAATGTGTTGAATGGGATTTAAAACACGGCCACGCCAGCAGCCGCTTGCGTTCTTCTGGGAGTCACACAAACGCAAAGTGCTTCATGCTCAAGCATACGTACATCTCGCACGCTGCTTATCTGGCTTACTGGTTCACTTGCAGGAGAAGATGACACCGCGGGCGTGTTCTGGTGTGCACGCCGGAGCTGAAGCACGCCCCACGGTCAGGGCCAAGTGGGAGTTGCAGCGGCGGATAGCATTGAAAAGAAAAAAACTGTAATATTGTAAACCACAAACGAGGTAACAAATCCCTCTGTTCAAAAATATTTCATTTAATCAGTATGCGCAAAAGGGTTTCTCATTGAAATGAATGAGAAAATGTGAAAACTTTTGACTGGTACTGTATTTAAAATGTATTTTCCAGCTACGCCAAATACACTAACTTAAGACAAACAATCTGGGAGAAGATGATCTTTTATGAAGGTCATAATAATAATGTGAGTTTTGCTATGAAACTCTTTTAATATTGTTCATTCCGCTGAATGCTTATTTTGATGATGCACTCTGTTGAGCAATGCTGCATATAATTACAGGTGATCCCATTATTTTTCTCACCCCATTTATGTCAGCGAGGATATTTGAGTCTCGCGGGGCAAATTTGAGATCTGTTTTATTACGTGAATGAAATTGATTCAGATACAACAGAGTGATGTCTAACCGAGCAGAGAATGGCGTCGCTCTCGGCACGGCCCCTGGCCGAAGCTCAGCGCCGTCCGATGCGACCAAAAGGTTCACCACCGAAAGCCAAAAACGAAAAGGTACGAACGGTTTTCTCCGCCCGCGGGTTCAGCGACCCTACAGGGGCTGCATTTGACTGTCCAAGTTCTCCCCTCTTGTGCTGTTATTCACTTCCTCACATTGCTTTTTTCCCTGATTAAAGTTTTCATTCCCATACCTACATGCCCACTGGCTCTTTCTGCATCTGTTTCTATGGTCTTTGTCTCCCCGTTGTCTTTCTCCCACTTCATTTATCGTCCATTTCTAGTTATTCTTTTATATTCCAGTCCTCCCTTTGAGCCTTCTCCCTCAAGCGGCGCCTCGCTTTCTTTCATTTGAATCCGTCTCAGTCAATATAGCAATTTGCCGCTTCATCATTGCCAGACGTAGGTGTTTGATATTTGTCTGTGAAGCATCCATCGTTCTGTTAGTTTCCATCGTTTCACATGAAAGCTGCTTTAAAAGCTGCCACAACGTTATTTCAAAGTTACAGTTTAAGAAGAGTCTGGGGAGCAGCTAAAATGCCAAGGTTACATTTTCTCAGGCAACAGTGCCGTCCTCCATCTCTCCTCCTCAGGTGTCTGCACCACTTTCATCAGGATGATTTTGTCAGAATCAGAGAGACCCTTTTATCAGCCGTGGAGAATTCTTGGGAGCTTCGGGGAGTGAACCAACGCCATCAGGAAAGGTAATGCCCCCAATCCGTGTGAGAAGCCAGAGGCTGATGAGGTCACACCATGTGTCTGATTCACTGCTCTGCTGTGCTGTGACATCCTGGTAAGAACTCAGCCCAAAGCGGTAAATACAAATCAGGAGATGTCTCTGATACCTTTTAGGGGTAAAGTAAGTTTTAAAAATGTTGCAGTTTGCAGCTTTGCGCAGGTCTTTTGATAAGTTTGCTCACTGGCGTTTCTCTATTTCTGGCACAAAGAACCGTTGTCAAAAAGGCTGCGTGTATTAATATGGCATTAAACAGACATTAAATGGAGAATGAAATGGTTTAATCTCCTGCTGCACAGCGTTTTTTTTTTTTTAGTTTGGCCTCTATCTCACCTCTGCACCATGATGCTCAAGTAAATAAATCCCCTTTCACCTCTTTAAAGCACACATGCATCCTCACGCGCACCCAACCAGTTCGTACTTTACCTCCAGAGTACAATTGAAAGCTTACTTTTCACACTTCTCCGACTGGAAAGTGGTGTTCATCACGTCCCCGTCATGGACTCGACAGCGTGGAAACCCCAATTTTGGGAGAATTATACCTTCAAAGGAATACTTTACTGAAAATGTACCCTGAGACATTGAACAGAGTGCCCTCGTAGCAAAATGCTTCTCACACCCAGAAAAGCTGCAGTCTGATGTGAATCAGTGGGCTTTACATGTGGCATTACTTTCACTCGACTGTCGGTTAGATTCTCAAATTCCCAAAGTTAAGGGGAAAGATTTTGGTTTCCATCCTAATATCCCAGCTCTCAATAGTAGTCGGCCTTAAACCGTGTTATCATTGTGATTAATAGAGCATCGAGGAACATGCTGTTCAGCATGCTGAACAAGCTGTTGAGTGGAGCGAGTGAAATGTGCTCAAAATGGCAAATGAACTACAACAGTCCTTATCTGTCTTTCTCTTTTGTGGTAATACAATAAAACTCAGAGAGATGTAAACGCTTAGATCCGTATAATATGTGATATGTTCCTTTTGTATTGCACGTAAGCTCGTATTCTGCGCAGAAACTATTCGCTTTAGATGTTGTCGAGAAAAGTACATTGTTTATCACATGGTGTAAGATAAATAAGTGCAACCTAGCAGACAATTTACCAATATATTTATTCCAGTAGCATTCAAGGTGTCAGGTAGTAACAGAGCTGCGCGGCCACATGGCGCCGTTAACAGATGGTTGAGCAGACGCTTGTAGCACCTTCGATATGAGAGATGACACGCTCTTCACAACCGACAATTCTGCAGCAACGCACAACGGCCACGCCGCGGCACGTCGCCGTCACGACAACGAGAGCTGGTGTCAACACGACATAAAGGGCTAAATGGGTTTTCACTGGGCTATTAGCCGAAGGGTGAAGTTGAACGTAGACGGAATTAGCGCTTAATTACGTGGGTGCGTGCGAGCAGGGTTACGGTGATTAGAGAGGTCTTAAGAGAGCCGGTGCGATGCCGAAGCTGAAGCTGCACTCGAATCAGAGCAGAAACAGGCGGTGTATCCGTGCACGGTGGCTCCTGTCGGCAGTGTGCGAATGGGTGTGAGTGGCTGAACAATAAGGTGTAAAAGTACAGCCCATACCAGACACCAGGGCTGCAACAACTAATCGATTTAATCACAAGTTTCATCCTCGCTTCTGTGTTGTGATTCCCGGGGCAAGTCGTGAAAGCATCTCCTAAAAAGGACGTACCTTAGCGATTGTGATGAATTACAGCAAATACAGGAAGGTACGCCTGCTCCCTCGTCTCTGGACCTGAACCATTAGAAAGTTTTGTGGACAGAGGCTAATTCACTAAACTAATACTAACAATAGTTAGTAATGATGGATGTGAGTGTGGATGTGGGTCATTTCAGCCTGTAGGTCCCAGGATGTGGGGGTGTAGCTGGATGGATATGATGCTGCACCGTCATTTTGTTCATCCGTTTCATTGTAGGTTACCAGATTTGTGATTGGCTGAGATCCTTTTGGGGACGCCAGACTGGCCTGAGTCCCCGATCACAAGCGCTTTTAACCGCTCGAGGTCAGCGTGGCCTCCCTGGAATCCTCCGTTCATCATGTGGTGCGGCTGCTGGGGGAACGTTTGAGACGTCTCTACTTTCAGCCAAAAGGCAAACTGCTTCATTTCTTGGTGGCATGATGGGGAAAAAAAGAATCTCTCTCGCCAACATTAACCTTTTTTCCCCACATGTCATCTCCCTCTTCTGATTTAGTAAAACACTTTTACCGTCTCATACACTGACATTCAACTCCTGCCCCCCCTCCCCCCCCCCTCTCGCCCGTCTCGCTCCCCGTGACCGTGGTGATAAACCCCGAAGCTGTCACTGTCATGCAACCCTCACGGCATTTATAAAGGTGCCACCTGTTGCTGGTGCATGCTGGGACGCTTACAGCAAACTTGGCACAACTGGGTAATTTACCCCCCCCCACACACACACGCAAACGCACACACACACACACACACACTCCACGCCTTGTGAGTATCCTTTTACTGGTGACGTGGGTCCGATATATGGTGTAGAGTCCACTGGTAACAGAAGGTACATGTTACGTAAAAAAAGCACACGGCTGCTTCCTGAAGGTTTTGCATCGACACGTGGTGAATATTTTACAAGTGTTAAAGTGTTAAACGTCTACAACTGTCTGAGCCAGAGATAGAAAAGTGATGAGAAAATACAACATTTACTTGCAGTAACCCGACAGCGGGGTGAATGAAAATGAACAAAGTGCCAGAAGAATAAATATTTACCGACACATCTTGAGGGACATAGAGGCAATCAATCCTTCAATGGCAATCATTTAAAGAAACACAGTATGTGTATCATGGTTCCTGATGCATCTAAACAGCTTCCACAGTAAGTCTCATGGTTCCTGATGCATCTAAACAGCTTCCACAGTAAGTCTCATGGTTCCTGATGCATCTAAACAGCTTCCACAGTAAGTCTCATGGTTCATGATGCATCTAAACATCTTCCACAGTAAGTCTCAGGGTTCATGATGCATCTAAACATCTTCCACAGTAAGTCTCATGGTTCATGATGCATCTAAACATCTTCCACAGTAAGTCTCAGGGTTCATGATGCATCTAAACATCTTCCACAGTAAGTCTCATGGTTCATGATACATCTAAACAGCTTCCACAGTAAGTCGCATGGTCCATGATACATCTAAACATCTTCCACAGTAAGTCTCATGGTTCATGATGCATCTAAACATCTTCCACAGTAAGTCTCATGGTCCATGATACATCTAAACAGCTTCCACAGTAAGTCTCATGGTTCATGATACATCTAAACAGCTTCCACAGTAAGTCTCATGGTCCATGATACATCTAAACAGCTTCCACAGTAAGTCTCAGGGTTCATGATGCATCTAAACATCTTCCACAGTAAGTCCCATGGGTTCATGATGCATCTAAACAGCTTCCACAGTAAGTCTCAGGGGTCTAAACAGTTCTGCTCAGGCTTCTGCTGGGATTAAACCTTTTAAGGCTCAGCAGGCTTAGTGATTTTAACACAATACTCAAGATATTGTAAATTAATCTAAATCGAACAACCTTTGGTAATTTATTAAGTATGAATATGTTTCACAAATTGAAGGAGATCTGAATGGCTTTCGCTGTTACTTCTTGTTTTTTTCCTATTGGTTGATCTGCAGAGTGCACTTGATGTGAAATACTTAGACTACTTTAGATCTTTATCCTCAACGTTAGGCTCCGTGTCCCACCGTCAGTGATCATCTCTTTACATTTGATTACATTATCTATGATCTACTAACTAAAAAAAACTCAGTCACAATATATTATACAGTAAAAAGATACAAATCTTCTGCTTTCTAACGCCTTAACCTTCCTGGGTAATAAATGAAGTAGCTTTGATGAAATCTACTAAAGATCCAACGGCTTAAAACTGAACCCTCAGGCATCAATGAAAAAACAATTTAACTCTGACAACATAACTGAGAAATTAACACCTGTAATGTGCTGTGAAAGGAATGATAGTGTTTAATAGATAACACGCTCACAGCGCAGCACCTCACATAAACAGTTATGAACATGATGAAAATCGAATGTATTAAATACACGGTTGACCGTTTTGGGAGTAATCTGCATTATGAAATAATGATTAGTAACACCTTCTAATCACACCGTCTCTTCAAATCGTATCCCACAGACTTTGGCTTCCACCACATATCATCAATGATTCATCAACGTATGAAGTTTGCTGGCCATAACACACTCACACATTTTAATCTTTTATCATTCATTATTCATCCATTTATCTGACCTTTAAATGTTAACCCAACAGCAGTTTCCTTCACGGAGTTTGCATGGGATGCATTCAGTCCGAGGAGCATCCTCCAGAATGTACAAAGCATCTTATTTACATAACCATAAACAATAAAACTTAAGGGAAGTTTTTGTTATTCCTTTCTGTGTCGCATAACTAGCCCATATTCTGTTTTTTTTTTTT